GTTCCCAAATGCACGGTGTGACCCAAGCCCCCCCGAGCTGGCGTGCTCTCCCCATCCCTCTCTCGGCCCCGCTTTGCTCAGTGATGGCTCCACGGTCTCTTAGGCCTCCCTTGAGAGCCTCTCTTCCCCAGCAGCCCCCACAGATGTCCCGGGGCCGAGTGGGGCGGCGGGGGCTAGAGGTTATTCTGGTTTGGTAGACATGGGTTCCTTGTCTAGCCCAAACCGAGGACCCAAACCTAGCACTGAGGCTGGCAGGGTGGATTCGCTGGACCCAGGGGACAGATCAGCCTCCCTCAAACTGCTCAGGCTGACTGGGGGAAGGGGCCTCCCTTCAAAGGAGCTGGGGCGCTGGTGCCCGAAAACAAGGGAAGGAAGCCCCATCAACAGAGAGGGCAGCCGTCCACCACAAACGCATTGAGCGGAGAAGAGGGGCCGGGCCGCTGTCCTGCAGAGCTGCCCCCGTGGGAGCCGAGGGCGTGCCTTCTCCGGAAGATGAGTCACACTCCTAGGTTGGACCCGGGCCGTGTGGTCTGTCATACCGCACACTCTGCCTGGACCCCTGGGTGCGCTCTGACCAGCAAGAGGTGGCAGCACCGTGGGGGCGTAGCAGAGGGAGCACGCCCCCCTCTCTGACCCAGGAGGAGACCTGCATGGGAAGGTCATGCCCAGTGTGAGCCCCGTCCCCTCGGTCCGGGAAGGCAGGCAGAGGAAGGGACAAGGACCTCCCCTGGCACTCTTAATTGCTTGTTTAGCTTGCCCCCCACCCAGGGCTGGGCCCAGCCTGGCACCCTCCGCAGTCCCCCGGGGCACATTGGCTGGACCCCTCCTCCCCTCCCAGCCTCCTTACCCGGTACCCTTCCCTTTGCTCAGGGGGCTGGGCTGGGCACCAGTGAGTCCTCAGCTCTGGCCCCGGTGACCAAGCCCTGCCTGAGACGCAGGCCCAGGGCGGTTGGTGGGAGCGCAGTAGGCGAGGTTCACCGTGGGTCCAGGCTGTTACTGGCCGTGTGACCTGGGGCCAGGTACCTCACCTCTGAGCCTCGGTCTCCCCTCTGTTGAGCAGGATGGCTACCTGATAGGTACATGATTGTGTTAGACGCAAATCTTATTGGAGTCGACCAGATGGGAATGGCTGGGGGGTGATGGGACGGAGTGAGAAATCGGGGCCATGCCTGGTGTTAAAACGCCAAGGATCCGTTCTTCTCACAAACGTGGCTGAGCACCAGCTGTGTCCTAGACACTGTGCAGGACCCAGGGTATCGGGAAAAATCAGGACCCTGCTCCTGCCCTGGGCAACAGTTGCCAGCGCCAGCTGGGACAGGGGTGGTTGGTGTCCTGTGGGGGCAGACTCCGCCTGGGGACATCCGGGAGGGCTTCCCTGAAGAAGTGACACTCAAGACGGAAAAGGGCCAGGGAAAGGGTGACCTGGGCAGATGGAACACCCCGCAGCGAGGCTGCCCTGGTTGACGTGGGGAACGAGAAGGGCTGAGTGCTTGGACCCTCCCGGGAGGGCCCGGGGGGAGCAGATTGAGGTGCAGAGGGGCTTTGGAGGCCCAGGCCGGGAGTCCAGGGTGTGGGAGTGATGGGGGGCACTGGGGGCGCTTATGCAGGAGGAGGAGTTAGTGTGTCCGTTAGGGTTGGGTGTGACTGTGAATGCCTGGGACCCAGAGGACAAGGACGTGAATCGGATGGTTTATTTTAAACGGGAAAGAAGAAATCCAGGGGGTCCAGAGTGCCCACAAAGTTGTCGAGGGCCTAGACTTTCGATTTCCAATCACTGCTCCACTGCCCCGAAGGTGGAGAGCTGGTCTCCCTGGTCCAGATCGGCAGCGGCTAGAGCCCGGGCTGCCACACCCAAGGTCCAGGCTTCAGGAAGACGGGGGGCCGGGGGCGGAGAGCAGGCACCCTCCCTTTAGAAAGACCTCACTACACTTCGGCTGATCTCTTATTGGGTGGAACTTGCCATAGTGTCATCCCTGGCTGCAGGCAAAATGAGGGAGCGCAGCCTTGTGGCTGGGTGTCATTTTGCCCAGCTAAACGTGTGTGCTGTTCTTGTCCTGAGGGCGGAGGGGGAGACTGGGGTCAGGAGAGAGTGCCAGTCTCCTGCCAGCAGCTGTGTGGGGGGCAGCCTGGAGAGGAGCAAGAGGCAGGCAGGGAGCCCCTGGGAAGGGACGTGGGGCAGGCAGGAGAAAGACAGCAGTGGCTCAGACTCGGGCACATGCGAGAGGAGGCAGGGAGAAGTGGACTGGCCGAAGCAGGTTTCAGAGAAAAGCCTGCAGGACGCCTGACACTGGGGGGAAGCGGCACAGCCTAGGACGACTCCTGGTCCGAGTTTGGACCTGTGATGGCAACATGAGCTGGGGGGGACCTGACAGGGACAGCTGGGGGTGGGGGGACAGCCAGCAAAGACCTCAAACCACCCCCCCAAACTCTCCTGGGTGAGGGGATAAAGCGGGGAGGACACCCCCAGGCCCCTGGCTGACCACTGGTGAGTTCCCAGGCCGAAAGCTATGCAGTGCATCCTGCTGCAGCGGGACCCCAAATTCCAGGTCACACGGAGGAACACACACGGCGGTGGTAGGCGGCCTTCCAGAGGCCTGTCCATCACACCCTCCCTGTGGCTGCCCTGCGAGGCTGTGGGGGGCTCAGGTCAGAGTGCGTCTCTCCCCCAGCAGGAGGCCAGCTGCCCTGCCCACCCCCCAGGCCCTGGCGCCCTGCTCACAGACCCAGCCTGGAGGAGGAAGCGGGAAGGCCTGGCCGGGGTCAGCAGCTGTGTCCCCGGCGAGCCAGGGAGGGCTGGGATTTCCCGAGGTCACCCCGCCACCTGGGAGTGGCATCAGCCCCTGACTCAGGCCTGGGCCCTGTTTTCAGCCTTAGGTGGAGGCACCCCCCCTGCTCACCCTGCTCCCCCTGCTCCCCCACCCCTGCTTCCCTGAGTCACTGTCTGCCTGGGGCACCCAAGGCCACGTCCCAGGCCAGCTGCCCATGTCGATGCCCTGGGAGCTCAGATGCTGAAGATGCTTGTGGCAGAGCTGGGACCCTGGGAGGCCGGGCCCCTTGGGTGGACAGCGAGGGTCCAGGGAGCCGGATCTGGGGTGTGGGCTGGGCCTGCAGTGGCCCCCTTCCCGGGGCAGGCGTTCGGAGGGGGCGCAGCTGCCAGAACCTTCCCCTCGGCCTTGTGCGGTCACCAGGCTCTGCACGGAAACAGCTGCTTAGCTGGACAGCTCGGTTCTGGAAACGTCTCCCCAGCAGGCTTTGGTGCCACGTGCATTTTGTGCAGAGTCTTTTGTCGGCCGCAGATCTTCCAGGAGCTGACCTCGTTTCCTTTGTGTGTCTCCCGCCCCAAAGGCCACCTGCAAATTTCTAGCACCCCCCGCTCGCTTCCTGGGCCGAGTGCCACGGGCTGGGGCTTCTCGCCTGCCTCTGGCTCAGTCAGAAGGTGGGGGGTTGGAGGGGCTCAAGAGCAGCGTAATCGTCCAGTAGTAACTATTGTGCCCGTGAATTAAAGACCCCCACTCTGGGGGGCCATACAGCTAGGGAGATGGCGGGCCCGGCACACCCCACTCCCAGCCACACCATGGCTCCATGTCACCACGCCAGGAGGCAGAGGCGGCAGTCGAGAGAGAGTTCTGAGCAGGGCTCTGTCCTCTGGAGAAATGTGAGCCCCTCATCCGCCTCCTGGATGAATGGGGGGGGACTGGCATGTTCATGGGGACAGTGCTGGCCCAAACAAGCCAGGACCCATAAGGGCTGGGTGCAAAAGCGCCACATTTTTCCATGGGCTGGAGCGAGGCCCTGGCCACGCTCACAGTCAAAGAGAGAGGCTGTATGTCCCTCCCAGAGGGGGAGGAACTGCAAAGAGCTGGGCAGAGAGCAAGGACACAGGTCCAGTGAAGCCTCGGGCCCACGGCGCAGGCGCCCACCGCGTCCCCATGCGGCGGCTGTGAACGGCTAAGCAAGGAGTGCATGCCCAGCAACGCCCTCTGTAACTGTCCAGTGCAGGGTGCTGGGCCCGCCAATTTGAGAGCCTTCTGAGTCTCAGGGCCCGCCCCCTCCGGGTTCGGTGCGGTGTGCACGCATCCGTAGTCTGTGAAGATGGCACACCCTGTCTAATGCCCAAGGGGAGAGGCAGGGAGAAGACACCTGTAAGTTGTGGAGTCCTTTTAGGCAATCCCAGCGGAGTCTCAGCCTCCGCACGTTTGCCTTAAGCAAATAACAACCGCCCCCACCTGGACACGGGGGAGGGGGCGGGAGGCAGAGGAAGGGTGGGCTCTGTATCTAGTTACCCACCCCTCTATCCTTCCCTTGTTTAACCAGTCCGCCCCCCACCTGCCCCAATCCTAGGGAAAAGCAGGCACAGGCCAAGGGCAAAACATAAGTAAGTAAAATTAATAAAACTAAGTTTTAATTTCGGGCCATCCAAGGGCCTGTGGTGCTCCAGAGAGTTATTACCGATGTCGGGCGTGTTCACCACGTGCACCGACTGCAGCGCCGGCCTCTGTGCGCCCCCCAGGCCCAGGGCGCAGCTGCACTCAATTCTCCAAGAGCCAGAATGCCCGGGTGCTGGGACTTGCTCCACCTGGGGCAAGAAGGACAGAAAATTACCTTAGCCAAGAACACCGACACCTCCCCCCAAACAAAAACTGTACAGAACCCCTGTTCTCAGGGTGAATGGAAGCGGGGGGGGGGTGCAGCTGGCGCTGGAGGGTGCAGACCAGAGCCCTGCCCACAGAAACCCAAGGGCCGTGCAGGCGGGGCCGGAACCCCTGCCGCAGAAGGTCCCTGTGACGGCCGCCCGGAAGGCTGGCACGGAGACAGCCGTCCCCCAGGGCACTCGCAAACCAGACAGCACACGTAACCGGAGGCACACGTGATGTCCGCAGAGTGGCCTGCTTCTCCCGACCGGGCTCAGGACTGAGCGTTGTCCTGGTGCCCTGGCAGGTGCCCAGCCAGGGCTTCTGTGCCCACCGAGCCTCAAAGCCACCACCCCTCTCTCCTCCCAGGCCGACGCGAAGATGGTGTGTGACGTGGTGAGCCGGATGGAAGACACGGAGCCCTTCTCCCCAGAGCTGCTGTCCGCCATGATGCGCCTGTGGGGCGACTCAGGGATCCAGGAGTGCTTTAACCGGTCCCGGGAGTATCAGCTCAACGATTCGGCCAAATAGTGAGTGTCCTGGGCCGGAGGGAGGCCGCCAGCGGGGCAGCGCCTCGGGCAGGGATCCGTGGGGCAGAGGTCAAAGCTGCTGCGGGATGCTCAACCTAGAGTGCCGGGGAGGAACAGGGCGGGGCTTCTCCTCCAGGGCCCGAGCTGAGAAAGGGGTGGGGTGGGGGGGTGGGGGGGTGGGGGGGTGGGGGGGTGGGGGGGCGGGGGGCGGGGCGGGGCACTCCCAGCATGCATCCCGGCTCCTCCGCCAGTACTGGCCTCTGCACCCACTGGCCCTCCGCTGGACCGCAGGAGGCTCACCCCGCACTCCCTTCAGCCCCCACTCAAACGCCACCCTGCCTGAGGAGCGTGGCCCACCATCCTATGTCAAATAGCAGCCCCCAGGATCCCCGGGATCTACCTGCTACGGACTGACCCCCAATTCCTTCTCATCCCACCTCCTGACGGGTCATAGGTCCGGGCACTTGGCCTGGGCAGGTGGGGTGCAAAGGCCTGGTCTGTCCCTGGAAGTGGCGGCTCGATGCGGAGGGCCTGGCCCCAGGCAGGCCCAGCCACCATCCGCCCCGTGACCTCAGAGCGTCCCTTCCACGAGCGCCAAATGGGAAGAGGCCCGTGGACCCCTTGGCAAACGCTGAGGAAGTGTGGAAGGGCCGGCATGTCCGGGTTCAAGGCCCGGCTCTCAGCTGGGCAAGGTGCCGGCCTCCACTGACCCTCAACTGGGCGGCACGTTAAATACACACACACTAACGAACACTGATGAGCAAAGTAGAGGCTTTGAGTGCATTTACGACGTTGTGTGGGGCGCATTTGTCGCCATCCTGGGCTGTGCGCAGCCCTCGGGCCAAGGGTTGGACACCGCTGAGTCTGCGGAACAGTGCATTTCACTGGGGGATGAAGGGTGGAACACACACATGTGAAGAACAGCGCCCAGCTGTGGCCGTGGTTATTTATCATGAAGAAATGACGAGGCAGCATTGTAAGCACGTTGGTCTCGTTGAGAAGGGTGATCTTGTACCCGGAACTGTGCCCAGAGCCCCTTGTGGCCAGAATCAGAGGCTGTTTGAGAGGGTGCAGCCACCCCCCACCCTCACCCCCCATCCCGACCCCCGGCCGAGGTGGTGCCATCTTTTCCACAGGGGCCTGTGAGGGGCCCCGGAGGACACTGGGCCCTGAAGGGGCGTGTGGCCCGGCCCTGCCCAGAGCTGGGTCCATGGGCCCTGTGTGTTGCCGTCCCCAGCTACCTGGACAGCCTGGATCGGATCGGAGCCACTGACTACCAGCCCACAGAGCAGGACATCCTCCGAACCAGGGTCAAAACCACCGGCATCGTAGAAACCCACTTCACATTCAAGAACCTTCACTTTCGGTGAGGCCCGGGGGACTTCAGAGCCCCCGCCCCAGAGGCCGACCTGCCTGGGGGCCTTGTGTTGGGACAGGCAGTTAGGTGGGAGAAGGGACGTGTCTGCAGGCCTGTCTTCCACCAAGTTCAGGGTTGGGGTCAGCAAGGAGGCTTCCTGGAAGAGGGGTCCTGGAGTGGGGCTCTGAGGAGTGGAGAGGTTAAACCCACCTGCCCCTCCTGCCTTCTAGGTGTAACTTCTGGGTGTGTCGGGAGCAGGAGGAGAGGCCGGGAGGGGTAGGCAGGTGTGAGGCCCTGTTTCCTGGCCTGCCCGGAAGGGCTGGGTTCCAGACTTCTTGCTGCCCACCCCCTCCCCTGGTGCCCACCCGTTCTCACACAGACGGAGGGGCCGAGGCTCTGCATCCTGGCCCGGGCCTGGCAGGCGGCCCATCCACAGGGTCTTGGGTGCTGCTCTGGGCGCAGGTGCCTCCCACCTCCACCAAATCTGGGAACACAGCCTGGGTGCCTCCCACCCCCCAGTCACTTCAATCTCGCCCGCTGTCCCCTCGGGGACACAGGGCAGGAACCTGGGTGCCACGCTGCCCCACAGGCCAAGTCCGAGAGTAAGCGCTCCGCAGGGGCAGCAGAGGCCATGGGCCAGCAGAGGCCATGGGCCAGCACCGGGCATTCCAGATGGCGGAGCAGGAGCCTGGGGAGGCAGGAACAGACAAGAACCACAGCTGTTCCTTGCCCAGAGCCCAGTCTGGTGTCTGGCTACAGTCCTCTGCCTGCAGGGCTGGGGTCCTGGGGCACGTGGGGCCCAGCCCCTACCCCCCACAGCTGTGAGCCTGCTGAGGCTGTAGAGCTCTTTGCGGGGCCTCAGGGTGTGAGACGGCTCTTTCTTGCAGGGCACATGGCCCTGCCTGCGCACAGCCTCTGCCCACTGCCCTTGTGCCCCCCGGGGGTGTGTCTGACAGAAGGAGAGGCCGAGGACAGGTGGCTTTGCAGACAGACCTGGCTCAGACCCAGCCCTCCATGCCAGCTCTTGCCAGCACCACGGGCACTCGGCCCCTAGGTGCCTCGCTTGTCCTCCACCTAATAGGTGACAGTCCCTGCCCGCCTCCCTCCAGGCTTATTGGGACTTTGCCCGGAGCACGGAGAGGAGCAGACACGAAGACAAAGCCAGGAGCAGGTGTGCTCCTGGCAGGAGGGCCCCACGGAGGCGTGACTCAGGGGCCAGGCGAGGAGCACCCCAGGGAGACCCTGGAGGTGTGCGGGCAGGTGTCCCGCTCGCTGTGTAGAAGCAGAGCCCTGCCGTGGGACAGACGGCAGAGGTGCCAGCCTCAGCACCTGGGGGTGCTCCCCTAGGGCAGCTCGGGCAGGTGCCCAGCCCTTCCTCCCCCCCGCCCCGGATCTCCACCAGGCGCCCCCACCTGCCTGGGCCCCACTGCCCACCACCCCAGCTTCCCCTTCTCGCCCGCAGGCTGTTCGACGTCGGGGGCCAACGATCTGAACGCAAGAAGTGGATCCACTGCTTCGAGGACGTCACGGCCATCATCTTCTGTGTCGCGCTCAGCGGCTATGACCAGGTGCTCCACGAAGACGAGACCACGGTGAGTGGCCTGCGCCCACCCGGCCCGTGGGGGCCCTGAGAGGCCTGGCCGTGACCGGCCTCCGCGGCGGCTGAGGGTTCTGTCGTTGGGCAAATGTCACCGGTGCAGCAGAAAAGGCAGCCGTGGGCCGGTGAGTCGGGGGTGGGAGGCGGGGGGCTGGCTGTTCCCAGCCATCTCTGCAGACTCGGGCCTCAGGCAGCACGTGCCCCCTCGGCAAACAGGGCAGAGTCCAGAGCCCATCAGGCCAGATCCGCATGACGCCGACCCTAAAAGAAATCAGGGCGCTTCAGGCAGAACACGCATGAAAGGCGGACAGAAAGCGGTTCTTCCTGCCGGCCGCGCTGCTGCTGCTGGGAGAGGCGTGTGGGGCGGGCGGGGCGGCCTACAGGACAGTGGTGCCTCTCCCCCACCCCACCCCGAGGAGGGGGCCGGCCCAGGCTCCTGCCTCTGGCGTGTGTTGTATTCGGCCTGGGGCCTCGGAGAACGGCCAGACTGCCCTCGGAGGGGGCGCCCACCTGGCCAGGGGCTGCAACTGTCCGCCCTGGTCCTAGCTTGCTCCTGGATTCGGGCAGCTCCCTCTCTGCCTCAGTTGCTGTTACCTGTCCAAGGGGGGGTGACAGTAGTACGGACCCGTGGGGTCACTGGTGACGGGCGAGAGCCTCCGTGTGAAGAGCGGGGACAGCGCGCCGCGTTGGTGGTTGTACTGTCTGTCCCTGGTGGTCGCCCCGGGGGGCGGGGGCCGGGGGGCGGTCCACTGAGAGCCCCCATCTGGTCTACAGCCACACAGCGGGGGGCCTGTTCGCACAACCTGCCAGGGAAGCGGGCCCTGGTGTGGGGCACCCCCAGGGTCACCGGAGAGGAGCCCACAGCACCTCCCTGCAGCGGGCCCCTGGGCTGTGGGTCCCGCCCGTGGCACAGTCAGCTCTGTCTGTCGGCAGCACTCACAGGCCTCTGCCCGGGGGCCTCTCGGTCGCACGGAGGTCGGAGCCGGGCCTGTCTTCTCTCTGGGTCTTCTTTCCTCACCAGCCCTGCCCACGGGTCCCCCAGGCTGCGGTGAAGATCTGTTGGGCTTTGGGGTGCTGGCTACGTGGGGTGCAGTGCTGTGTGGGAAGGAGCCGCCGTCCTGAGGGAACTTTTGGCAGATTGGGGCCGGCGCCGCGGCCTGGGAGGGTGACCCGGACTCACACCAGGTGCTGGCTTGTCCACCCTGCCCTCCCACCTCCAGGCCGAGATGCGCCACCGGGGTGGGAATCAGCAAAGCCCCCCAGCCCTGCCTTGTCCCGGGAGAGGCTCCTGGGGCCTCAGCCGCACAGCTCTTTCTGGTAACACCGTCGTCATTCTCAGTGACCGCATCAGGGTGTGGTATCTGAGGACACCAGCGCGGAGGGCGGGCCGGGGATGGACGCACACCCCGGGCTGTGCTCGGACCCGTGCACGGGGGCCACCCCGGCTCCCCGGCCACTGTTGGTCCACCATGCTTTCTCGAGCCGCCGTTCATGGTCTGATGGGCCAACCCTGTGGTCCGAGCTCCGTCCACTCGGTTCATCTCTTCCTGCGGGACCTGGGAGTGGGAGGCAGGGCTGTGGGTTTCAAAGAAAGCGAAGGGCTGGAGAGTGGAGGTCCCTTCTCCCTGAGCAGGCGCCTCCCCTGGGACCTGCCTCACCAGGCCCGCGGACAGCTCAAACCCAGTCCCAGGCCCGTCAGCCATGGGCCACGGCCTCCCCCGCACCTCTGTAGCGCAGGGTGGGCGCAGAGGGATGTCGGGGTGGGGCTAGCAGCCCTGAGGCCGGAGCTGCGTGGCCCTCAGGCCTCCATCAACCACGGGGCTGGGCAGACGCCAGGCCCCAAGCTCAGGCAGCCTTCCGGCCTGCCTGCCCTGGCCAGCCCGGCCAGCCTTCAACATACTCCTCACCAGCCCTTGCTGCTGGGCACAGCTCGGGTCCTGGGGCACTTGCCCCCCACGCTCCTCCTCCCTGCCTTTCCTGTTCCTGGCCCGCCGCTCCCCAACCTCCCTCCTTCTCCCCGTGTGTCCTGCCCTTCTTCACGAGGGCCAGAGAAGAGGACCTTGGGGAAGCCAAGGCACGTGGACCCAGGCTGGGGACTCCTCCTGGGGCCCTTTCTTCCCTAAAGCGGACCAGCGGTGCGGCCCAGGACAGGGCAGCCACCCCTCCAGGGGGCAGGAGTGGGCGCTCCGACTCGACGACAGCCCCCGGTGGTGGCAGCTCGTGGCCCAAGGCAGCAGGAGCGGCACCGTGGCTGCAGAACTAAGCCGACAACTGTGCGTCTGGGAGTCTGGGAGTCTGGGACCTGTGGCCGCGCTGGGCAGCTGTGGAGCCGGACGGATATGGCCCCGGGTCCAGTGCTGGCCCCACCGCCGCATCATGTGGCAGCCGCTCCACTTCCTGCCCCTTCACATGGTGACGGTGGGCACTCAGCCTCTGGAGCAGCTGTGAAGAGCGAGGACCCGCACTCAGGACCCCACTCAGGAGACAGCAGTGGTCGGGCTCATCGTGGACCATGGACACTCGGCCCTGAGAGCCGGAGCTAGGCCCCTCTGGCCAGCGCTCGGTCCCCGGACATCCTCTCTGGTCAGCGCTGCTCATTCCTTCCTGACCTGGGGTGATACAGTTGGCCAAGATCCGGGAGCCCTGGGGCTGGATGGAGGCTGCCCCCCTCCCCCACCGGCCGGCCACCCAGTGCACCGCACCCCGAGAGCCCGGGGCCTCATCCTGTCCTCGCACCCCAGGCCCGCGGCTCCGGCAGCACTGGGCCCACCGCCACAGCTGCACCACCGCCGCGGGCACCACCGCCAACAGGGCCTTAACTTGCCAAACCAAGGCCAAAGCCATGAGCAGAGTCTGGGAGGCCCCTGCAGGCTGGGCAGGTATGAGGCACCTCCCTCTGGTGGAGACCGCCAGCCGAGAGTTGAAAGCAGCAGGTCCTCGGGGCCCATGGGTGACTTTGCTGTGATGCCTGCCCCCGCCCACTCTCGCATCCCACTCCTCACCAGCCACGCAGTCTGCAGCCCCCGGGTGGCCGTGGCCTCTGTGAGCCCACACGAGGGCCCGGGACGGACCGGCCTTGACCTCCCGGCCCCGAGACTGGTTGAACCAATTTTCCAGGGTTTTTTTTCCTCTCTCTTTCACTCATGTTTTCTGCTGGGTTTTTATCTTCCTCTCTGTTTTAACTTGTTTTGCTGGGTTTCATCCCGGGGTTCTTCTGGCCCCTCTGCTGAGAAAGCAGCCCCAGTACGCAGCTCACCCAGAGCCGACCCCCTCACCCGGCCACGGCCCAGCCAGCCAACCCAGTCCCCAACCGCACCAAGGCCACAGCAAGATCACCCCCCAGACGCTGCCCCCCCTGGTGTCTGCTTCCAACTCTGGATTAATTCGAGGATCTCAGTCCTCGGTTAATGTGCCCCAACGGAATGCGTGCACCTCCCCCACCCCCACCCGCTGGCGAACCCGAATGAGACCCCAGTAGAGAACTCTGCATGGCCCTCGGCTCCGTGTAGACGTGCTGGATGGTGGCGCGGCCCCTGCCCCTGAGTGCATGGTGCATGTCCTCTCCGTGAGCTGGCCACCTCCGGGGACCTCGCTGCCCCGCCCCAGGTCGGCCCTCTCTGGGGAGGGAGGCAGCCCTCTCTGGGGAGGGGGCATCGGGGGCAGCGTTCCCCACCCTGCCCGCCCTGCTGCACCCCACCCTGCCTGCGTGTGGAATGAAGAGGGGACCACGTGCCGTTTGTCTCTGTGGGTCCTCCGTCTCCGTCCCCTGGTGGTACCTCCGGCCGCGTCGGCAGACCTCTCCTCGGCTTGTCCCTCGGTGTGGTGGCCGTGGTGGGCCCGGCCCTGCACGCTGGCGCTCACCAGCCTCTCCGCTCTGTTGCAGAACCGCATGCACGAGTCCCTGAAGCTCTTCGACTCTATTTGCAACAACAAGTGGTTCACGGACACGTCCATCATCCTGTTCCTCAACAAGAAGGACCTGTTTGAGGAGAAGATCAAGAAGTCCCCGCTGACCATCTGCTTCCCCGAGTACACAGGTAAAGGCGGCAGGGGCCTGGCTACTGGGTGCCCTCTGGGAGCAGGCCCCCGTCTGGAGCTCCACCCCCTGTACCGTGCCCCGATGATGCTCTGGGCCTGACAGCAGAGAATCCCACCCGAAACTGAAGGCACCCCTAGGGAGGCAGGGCGGGAGGGCTGGCTGCGTGACCGCGGCAGCCTGTGGGAGCCTCAGCCCGGTCGCCCGCAAACAGAGATTATCGGTGAGGGGGGCTCACCACCAGGCCCCTGGCTCCGCCACTCACAGCAGGTTACGGAACTGCTCGGCGCCTCAGTCTTCACATCTGTGAGATGGGGGCAGTCACGTGGTTGTCCAGCCCTCCCTCACACAGAGGCTGGGGGGTGGGCCGAGCGAGCTAGTGAGCATGGAGCACCGAGCCCAGCAGCTGGCGCGGAGCAGGTGCTTGGTGAACGTCGCCGTCACTGCTGCCACTGCGGTGATAACTACCGAAGAGCCCGACACCTCCCACTTGGAATTATGGGACTCCAGGGGCCTGTGGGAGCGGGGAGAGCCCCCGGCAGCAGCCACCTGGCCTCCCTGCGGAGGGTGCTGAGGATGACGAGGCCGCCTCTGTTGGGTGGCCATGGGTTTACCTACCTGTGGGTGGGCGGACAGCCACAGAGCAGCCAGGGTGGCCGGAGCAGCGCAGGGGCCCGCCGGCATTTCCAGATGGCCAGGGCCTGGTCAGGGAGGTGAGCCAGCACCCCCAGCCTGACCACCCTCCCCCCTTGCTATCACCCCTTGCTCAAGGTCAGGCCACCAGTAGCGAGCAGCCAGAAGTGGAGGGGGCCCGGCAGCCCTCACACCCACCAGCCAGGCTCCCCTTAGCTACACGCTGGGGGCTTGTGGATCCCTCGCTAGTTGGCCTCAGCTGTGGCCTATTAGGCAGCAGAAACAGGTGGGCAGGTCAGTCACAAGGCCGGTTCCGGGCTGATGCTGCCCGCGTGATCACCTGTAGGCCCCCTCCCCACCTCCAGCCCAGGCTCAGGAAAGAGCCGTGCTCTCGCCGACCCACAGGGCCAGGCCTGGTGGCCTGTGCCGTGGGCCTGAAACGCTGGAACCCCTCCTGGGGTAACACTCCCAGACTCCCTGCGTGCACAGTGGCCACCACAGCTTAGCGCCGCGACTTTGAAAGCCAGCTCCCCTCCTGCCCTCCCACAGAGGGCCGTGGCAGCCCAGCCTGCACCCGGGCCCCCGTTCCTGGAGCTTCCCTGACCTGCCCCTCCCCCAGCAGCAGCCGCTCTCCTGGAAACCCTCCCCCTGGGCCCCTCCGAAGCAGAGCGACCTGGCACACCCCGGGGAAGGCGGCTAGTCGGGGAGCCAGACCATGCTTAGTCCGGGGACAGTGAGCCTGGGAAAGTGGAGGGGTGAGGAGAGGAGGCCAGGGAGGCCCACCTTGGTCTGCCCCGAGGGGTCGCGGACAGGAGAGGGCTGCCCGTGGGGTGTGCACAGTTAGGGTCCGGTCCCCACTGGCCAGAGCAGGGCCCGAGGGAGGAAAGAACATTTGCATGAGGAGTCAGGGGCCTACGACAAAGGGAAATGGGAGTGTCATGAACCGCTGCTCACCCTTAATACAGGCGAGGCGCCGGTGAGGTTTGACACTTTGTTTCTTTCCTGACTCTTAAACTGTGCGGGCCGCGGACTTGGTTTCATGGCTGGCTATGGATGGAGTGCAGTGGTTCAGGCTCCCTCGCCCCCCCAGCTTCCTCCTTCAGGTTGTCACCGAGGGGCCCCCGGACCACGGCCTCGCCTCACCTGCCCCCTCCCGGCTCCCCCCGCAGGCCCCAGCGCCTTCACGGAAGCCGTGGCGTACATCCAGGCCCAGTACGAGAGCAAGAACAAGTCCGCCCACAAGGAGGTCTACACCCACGTCACCTGTGCCACCGACACCAACAACATCCAGTTCGTTTTCGACGCCGTGACGGACGTCATCATCGCCAAAAACCTGCGGGGCTGCGGCCTCTACTGAGCCCCCTGGCCTTGCCTCCCAGCCGCCCGCCGCGCTGCCCAGCCTGCCGCCCCCCCACCCCCCCTCCGGAACCAGAGCCCGGCACCTCTCAACCTCTAACGCACTTGACAGGGAAGCACAGCAGCCGGCACCAAGGCGGGAGGAGGGACGGTCCTCCACGGCCGCCCCGCCCCCCGCAGCAGAGCGAGTGGTAACCCCGGCCGGGCAGCGTGCTGTGTACCCGCACGGCCCTGGGCCCTGGGCCGGGCTGCCCGCTGCCCTCCTGCAGCTCCCTGGCCTCGGCCCCAGCTCTGTCTCTGAGCGTTCAATCTTGGGGCGAGGAGTGTGGGGTCAAGGCCACCGTGTGGCCCAGAATGGGCACCCCCTGCACTTGGTGACTCGCACTCGAAGTCCCAAGGACTCCTCCTGCCTTCTGGGGTCGTGCAGGTGGTAGGGGTGGCCATGGGGCAGGGTGCTGGGAGGGGAGGGGGCTGTCGGAGCCACTGCTCAGCTTTTCCTGGGGTCTCTCTGGGTGGGGCAGCTCCGTCACCAAAAGCCAGGGTGGGACTGGGCCCAGGGCGCACGGGTCCAAGGGCTCAGACCTCAGCAACAAGTGCCTCTCGCCTCCCTCCCCGCGGATCTCAGCCCCCGGCAGAAACCCTGCCTTCTCCCTCCCGGCCGTCCTTCCTTGCACACCCCTGGGGCTCCTGGCAGCCCTCCTCACGGGTTGGGGAACGGTTCTGTGACTGACGACATATTGCAGCAGCCTGTGGTCCACGGCGCGGGGGGGGAGGCCCCAAGTCCCATGGTGCCTAGGCAGGGTCAAGGAGAGGGTGCGAGGTTGGGGGAGGGGTGCTGAGGGGAAGTAGCCCTGTGTCGACTGCCGTAGGGCCTCACACCTCACCCTTGCAGGCGCAAGGGTGACCCGTCTACCTTTCCCCATCACCCGGTCTTGGGAAGCAGCTGTGGGTGTCAGTAGCCCAGCATTTTCTTCTTGAATTTGCAGTGAATCCAACTCGAACCGGCAGGGGCCGGGTGGAGGTTCTGTTGTTGGGGAGGCTGGGGGTGTGGATGCGGCCAATGTGCAGCTTCATTTGGTCTCGGTGAAGAAACCGGCAGTGGGGGGGGGGGGTCCCCAGCCCTTGGTCCTGCAGGCCCTGGGGGCAGAGGAGGGCTGTCGGGCACTGCCAGGGGCCCACGCTGCCTCAGACGCCCCTGCTTCTATAAAGAGAGTCCTTGGAGCTCTTGGAGGGGCTTTGGGAGACTCCTGAGCAACAGTGGGCAGGTGACTTCCCACGACCCAGGCCTGGTGCCAGCAGCCCGGCAGACCCTGTGCGCTGCGTGACGGGCTCTGCCAGGGGAGCCACATGTGCCCAAGGGAAGCGAGGGGGCCGCCCCTGGAGGGGTCTCTGGCTCCCTCCCCAAGCCCTCTGCTCTTCCAGCCCCGACCTGGGCGCTGCGCTCTCTCCCAGGGCCAGTCCACACCCTTGGACTCCCAGGACCGCCCCCTGGCTGCCCTGGAGCCCCGGAAAGAGCCCCTCCCTGCCAGTCTCTCTGGGCTGCCTGGGTCCAGCAGGCCCTCGGCTCTGCACAGCACACGGGAGACCCGAAGCCCAGCCCCCGGAGCCCGACACCGGCAGGCTGGATGCCCCTGGGCGAGCCCCTCCGCCGTCCGGCTCTCCTGCTGTGGCCCAGCCTTGTGGGAAGTCACGGGCAGCCAGCCCGGTCCGCTCAGTCCTTTCACCTGTGGGCTGCCCGTGGGCCGCCCGTGGGCCGGGCCGGGCCGTGGCAGAGCCCAGCCCCTGGAGCCCACAGTCTCCACACCGTCACGGGCAGCCTGGCCCAAGCCTGCCATTTTGCCCGACATGGGAGACATCGCCGTCATTTCCCTGCATCGTCACCCCAGGGGTTGCCAACTGTGCCCCTACTTCTGCCCCGGGACCCCAGACTCAAACGCAGCAGCAAGAAGGAGGAGGTGGCCAAGCCCACCTCGGGTGGAGGAAGGCACGCCCTGCAGGCCCCGCCCTCGCTGGCGGGGGCAGCGGAGTCCGGGGGAGCCGGTTGCCTGGGGCCTTCCTGCGCCTCCCGCTCCGCTCCGGGCTGCCCTCTCTCCCCCACACTCCGTCCCGCTTCTCGCGCTGCTCTGGGCCTCCGGCCCTCGGGTGCCCGTGGTTGTCTAACGCAAACCCTCAAGGGGCGGGGGGGGGGGGGTGTTGGGGCCGAATGCCCTCGCCGCTCACTGCGTGGTTCACGCCTGTTGTCACTGACGGCGCCACCCTGGGGAGTGATAGCTAAGGTGGCAGATGAGTTTTGGCTCCGTCGTGGGTGCAGGGGGAGATGTTGTGAGTGGTGTGACTTGGGTGGCCTGTGTTTGGGGGCCATGCTTCAACTCTCCGAGTGGCCCTGACATGGCCGGCCAAGGGGAAGCTGACTTCTAGGAAGTCATCTTTGCCAAACCCGTGGAAAGTGTGCCTGCCACCCCGGTGCCCGTGGGCGAGCTCGGTGCCCTGCCCCAAATGCCCCCACCAGAGCCAGGCCTTGGCCTTGGCACGGAGAACTGAGAGCGGCCCCCAGGCTCTCAGGCCTGGCGGGGGTGCGGGGCAGCACCCGAGGCCCCAGGAGGGGCGCTGTTGAGCCTGTGGACTCCAGTCTGGGCATGGCGTGGGCTCTGGGCCCCTCGCCAACAGCTTTGACCTTCTGGGTCCGGGGCCGCTTCCCACAGAAGCCTAATGCCAAGTGCCCCGGCCCTTCCTGTCTGCTCTGGCCCCAGCAGAGCCTGAGGGCCTGTGGCCACGTGTTCACACCAGGGAGCAGGGGGCAGAGCCCAGGCAGGGGGCCACCACCGCACCTGGTGCCAGGAGGCAGCGCTGCCTCCCGGCCCATCTCCGCGCCCCGCTGGCAGGAGCCGGGGGCAGTACAGTGCCCACGGCAGTGAGTCCTCACAGCACCCACCAGCGGGCAGCAGCCGCCAGTGCACACCCCACCCAGAGCCTCCAAAACCAGGCCCTCTGCACCCCTCCATTCTGCCAAGACAAGTGGGAGGGAATGCTTACCCCTCTGCTCCGTCCTAATGCACTCACAGCGCATGCCAGGTGTGGCCGGTTCCGCAGGTTCTTCCTCCTTCCGGACCCTCCCCTTCCCCTTGGTCCGGCCCCTGCACTCCTCAGTAAGGAACCCACCAACACCCGGGCCTCAGTCTCCTCCCTCCAGACCGGGCGGGGGCCTGCCCGGCCCCTCCTCAAGAAGCCTGGCACACCGAGCCTCTCCCACTGCCCCTGCTCTTCTCTGAGCCTCTGGAAGCCTCAGGCACAGCCTGGCAGATGTCAGGAATGGAGGTCTGCGGCTACCAGGGACTCCGTCCGAGGTGCCACGGGCCAGCACCCCCAGACAGTCCCCCGTCTCGGCCCACGCGCCTTCACAGTGAGGGTCCCAGCAGCTCAGGGCTGCGAGGCTAGACTTATCAGCCAGACCGGGAACCCGGGCCAGCGTGCGGGCTGCGCCCTGTGATGGTGGTCAAGCTGCCCACCCCTCAGTGAGGCATGGTGGGGGGGCCTTCCCTCTGGGGGCTCCCCGGGCTCCAGACGGACCCCATCTCGGCCGTGTGAAGGCCCCCGTCAAGGGAGGGGCCGGTCGAGGCAGCAGCAGAGGGAAGCCCCCCACCGTCCTCAGTCCCTGGCCCCCTTGGTCAGAGGGGGCCCCCTGCATGGACAGGTTTCACCCCCAGGCCCAATGTGCCAAGACCAGCAGCGTGGAGACACCTCTTTCTTAGCAGAGCCAGCAGCTCCACACACCCCTGGCCCTGTGGCCCCTCATCTCCTCCCCGCACCCCTCCCCACCTTGCAATCCTGCAGCCTCCCCCAGCAGCCAGGCCCTCCCCTCCCGGTCTCTGGCTGCCTGCCATGGCTCTGCCTCGATGCCCACTGCCTGTGCCCTCTGCCCCCAGGCCTCCTCCCCCCACCACTGCCACCTCTCTGCTCCCCTCCCCCGTCCCAGGCAGGGCGGGCGTGGGTGCCCCTCCCTCCCCAGCAAACCTTCCACCTTAGTCTCAGTAGTCCCCCTCTCCGCCCCTCCTCCGCCCCCCACCCAATTAACTGTAATTTTGTAAGTAGAGCAACTTGTGGGTTTAATAAATCTCTAGTCATTGTAATAACTTATGGGCTGCAGTAATGTATTTATTAGTCACCTACCGTTAATAAAAAGTGCCAGCTTTTCTCTAGCGTGAGTGTGGTGTGTTGTGTCGGTGCCCACGCTTCCTCCAGGCGCGCCCGCGGGAGCCGGGGCCTGGAGCCGGGCCTGCCTGCGGGCCGCCTGGTGGAGGGGCACGCCTGCTGGGCGCAGGAGGGCTCCGGGCGGCCGGCCACCCTGCCCACCGCCCGGGACTGTCGGGAGGGCCGAGGCCGGCCTTCCCCCAGCGTGCTCGGTGCCGGCCAGGCCACCGCGCGGGGCCGTGCGGACACAGGTCTCCCACTGGTCTCAGCTCCGCTGGAGTCTGGGGCGGGCAGGCACTGGGCGGGGGGCTGCTGTCTGGCTGTGACCCTCCTGGCTTCCTCCTCTTCTCTCAAGTGGTGCCGCCTCCCATTTCGACTGTATTCTCGCCTCTGTTTTCTCCGGGAAGCTTGTCGGGACACGCTGTGTGCTCTGGGCTCCTTGGTGGCGGGTTCCAGCCCGCGCTCGGGCCGTGGAGGGGGTCTCAGTGCCGGCGCCCCGTCTCTGCAGCAGCACCCGTCCCCCTGCCTTTGGATCTGCCCTTTTCTCCGCACTCCCTGCAAGCCGCCCCCCCGCCAGGGGCCCACTGCACAGCCCGCGCTCTGGAGCTGGCCCCAGCCAGGTGCGGGGCCCAGCTGCGTGTCACCTCTCGGCGCCCCTAGGGGTCGGTGAGATCAAATGACAGGAGGCAGGCGCAGTGCTGGGCGCAGTGGTGGCGGAGTGGGGCTCGGGGGCCATGGTGGACGTGTCGTGGCCTCCCTCCCCCTCCTGCTCAGCGAGAGGAAGTCAGCCACCGCCACACACCGAGCAGGCAGCTCACCCCTGCACACCCCCAGGGGGTCGAGCCCTCCCCGGTGAATAAGGCCCAGCGATGCCCCCGCCCCCGGCTCTCTGCTCTTGCCTCTGGTTTGGGTCAGTGTTCTGACTTCAGAGGGAGACCAGCCCTGGAACCACTTCTGGGCTGGAGCTGGAGACCCAGGGAGCTAGCTGGGTTTGGGGCAGACGAGTTCCCAGGGCCAGGGCAGGACAGCTGTCCCTTCCCCCAGGGGGCTGCAGCTCAGGAAGTCACCTTCCCGGGCAGATGGGGTCCATTCACAGGGACACATGCCCCCCCCATCCCCGCGCTGCCTGGCTTCCCACGGCGGAACGCCAGGCCCTGCCCAGGGAAGAAGGGCTGTGCCCACAGGGTCCTGCTCCGTGGGGAGGGCTGCCCCGCACGCTTGTGCGCTCACCGGACTCCCGTGGACCAGGCAGTGCCTCCCGCCTTCATGGCTGAAAACTCCCTGCGGGGTCGGACCTGGCTGAGTGCGACCCACCAGAGGGGCTGTGGCCAGTCCCCGGAACTCCTGCAGGCATCCCCCCCACCCCAAGGCGTGACCTCCCTGAGTCCCTCACCCCTCCCCAAGGACACCCCGCCCCCAGACTGGGCTCAGGAAGAGAGGTCCGGACAGGAAGGGCCAAAGCCCAGCTGGGGACCCCGCAGGAGAGCCCAGACCAGCGGGGCCTCAGCCTCCCCCAGGGAGCGGGGGCTGGGCCGAGCTCTGCCGCTGGCCCCCAGGCGAGGGGTGCAGACAGGTCTGAAGGCTGGGGTTTGGAGGCCTGTGCCCTGTGGCAGGTGACAGCTCTACCCGTCAGCCTTCCGAGGAGCCACGGGGGCTTGGGAGCCCCCCGCCCGGAGCTGCCGAGTAGCCCAGCTCCAGCCTCTCAAGCCTAACTCTCTCTTCTCTCTCCCTGTCTCCGTGTCTCCCCCGCACTGTCTCTCCCGCTCTCTCCCCTGCCACCCGCGGCCGCAGAACCGCATGCACGAGTCTCTCATGCTCTTCGACTCCATCTGCAACAACAAGTTCTTCATCGATACCTCCATCATTCTCTTCCTCAACAAGAAAGATCTCTTTGGGGAGAAGATCAAGAAGTCACCTTTGACCATCTGCTTTCCCGAATACACAGGTGGGTGTCCCCGGGGGTCCTGTGCAGGAGGAAGCCCCACCCTGCCCGGGACCTGCGTCACCTCTAGAGGCGTGACCCAGAGACACCCGCTGCCTGCGGTGGCCCAGGGACCAGGCCGCCAGGCCAGCACTGGCTGGTGTGGGGGCACCACGTGTTCACCGCAGGAGCCTGGCAGGGTGTGCAGAGGAAAACGCCAGGGTGCGACCTGGGTATGGTGGGGGGTGGACCCTCTGGTCCACACGTTCTGTGACCAGGTGACTCGGGAGTGACATGGAGGGGTCAGGAGGCAGAACAGGACACAGGCTCCCTCTCACCCTCGTCACCGCTAGAAGGCATGTCCTGCCTCCCCAGGGGCCGCCCCGTGCCCTGCCTGGGGCGGCGCTGACCCCACAGCACCTGGGCCTGGTTAGAAAGGGCACGGGGCACGGGGCCCATCAGTGGTCCCACCTGCTTTCTCTATCCTCAGGGCCCTGCCTGGGCCCCGCCGGAACCTCACACCCCCTGCACCTGTGTCCTGCTCCTCTTCCTCCACCCCGGTCTCTCCCCAGATCCAACCACTCCAGCTCTCTCCACGCCTCTTCTCCCGCGCCTTCCTCTGCCCCCCGTCTTCACCAGGGCAGCCCTCTCGCTCAGTGAGGCTCGTTCCAGCTGGGCAGAGGGGGCGGAGGGACGGCCATCACGGTGCTGCTGGGACGCCAGAGCCCAGCCTTTGCCCCTCTGGGGCCTGGGGAGCATCTGGGGTGGGGGCCCTTTGCACCCTGCAGTGGAGGATGAGTCACAGGTTGGCTCAGTCAGGAGCCACCTGCCGGCGGCCCCGAGGGAGAGGAGGGTATGGGCTCAGCTCCCGGGGCCACACAGGTCCCTGAACCCAGCCAGGCTCCAGAAGAGGTGGACGCTCGCCCTCCACCTTCTCCCCCGTGGATATGGAGAGGGGCCCGTGGCTCATTCCCGGCACAGCCCGTCTCCTCCCTGGTGTTTGTTTGCTGCTTGTCAATCAGCAAGGCTCCCGCCCACCTGCAGCTGTGGAGAGCCCGGTGGGGGCAGGCTCGGCTCTGCCGTGGTCAGGAGCATTGTTTCCCGCAGGCAGGGGGCCAGGGCAGCCCCTGGAGCCAGCCAACCTGCACCTCTGATGCCACAGGAGGGAGGATAGGACCTGCAGTGCGGGGCGGCTGCTGAGGTGTGACTCCGAGGACAGGGGGTCAGCCGTGCGGGGGGCGCCCTCTGCAGGGCGGCATGGGGCAGGCCCCCGAGGTCCCCGGGGCCCAGGAGGGCCCAGCCTGCAGGCAGCCACACTGCTGGCCACTCTCCCAGCCTCAGCAAGGCTCCCCGCAGGCCCAGGTCAGGTTCTTTAGAAAGTCATGGTGACCCACAGGTGACTCAGCAGCCAGAAGCCTGGGCAGGCCCTACCCTAAGGCTCGTCCGTCCTCCGTCCTTGCCCCCAGGGACCCAGCCCCACCGGAGCCCATTTGGGGCGGGGCCCAGGTAGCAGCCAGCCTCACTGCTAAGCAGGGAGAGGCACTGCGCCCCCCAGAGAAAGTCGGTCTGAATTCGGGAAACATTCGAGTTCTCCAGAGCATCCAGAGCGGCCCAATATCACGTCATAGTTGAGTTCAAGTGTCACCAGGGTGGATGACAAATCACCAGCAGTGAAGTAGCCCCAGGGGGTGCCAAGGCCCGCGGAAGACACCAAGCAGGCTGAAGGGGGGGCAGGGGACAGGTGGTGGGGGAGGGGGTGGGGGTCCTGGAGTCACTCCCAGGTGCTTTCACCCCCATCGGCGCCCCGTTTCGGCACCCTCAGGACAGGAAGCTCCTGGATGGGGTCCCCTCTGGCGCTGTGTCCAGCCTGTGCGCGGTCACTACCTTGGTTGGTGGCTGCACTACAAACTCACCGCTGAACGCTCTCAGTGCCCGGCCCACAGCGGGGCCGAGGAGGTTCTGCCCTGGGGGCTGTCCAGAGCCGGTCTCCATCCTGTCCCCCACCCCAGGGACGTCCCCCCACCTCCCCCCAGCCCCTCACACTCACTGCTCTGGCTGCAGAGGCCTTCCAGTGGCCCGAGCCCAGCCTCCCCGTGCGGCTCACACCCAGCCACCCGAGCGTGGGGCAGGGCCCGTGGGGCAGGGGGTGTCACCCCACACCCTCGAAGCCCGAGTGTGTTGTTTCCGAGCTGGCCGGACCCCAGGGGCCCCGAGGGGAATCGGGCGTCTCCCTCGATGGACTTTCAGGCAATTCTGTGTTGGTGCCCGGGTTACGGTGTTTGGAATTTGTCCAAAGGGCAGAGCCACAGGGTTCAGGGTGCAGCTGATTAGAAAACTGTCCTTGCATCACCCACAGATGTCCCCACAAGGCCTTGGTCAGGATCGAGGGGAAGGACGAGGAATTTGGGGGGACGGTGGTGCCTATGGCACAGGCTGCTAGCACCTTCAGCTTCCCACCCAGAGGGTATCGGTACCCCAGGTCTGGGCCACTCGCCTAAGAATGAGGGCTATGTAGGGTCGTGCCCGGCCCTGCCAAGGGGCTTCTCGTGAGAGGAAGCCACCCAGGAAGCAGTGCAGGTCCAGCTCGACACCCAGCACGCCCTGGTCCCCGGGAACCCTGGGTCCTGCCCTGCCAGGAGCTCTTCCCTGGATGTCACTGTGTCAGTTGATCGGAAGCAGCGGGACTGGTTTAGGGGTGAGTGTTGTTGTGGAGGGCAGACCCGGGCAGAGCCTCAGTGTGCTCACCTAGAAGGCAAAATGGACCTTCTGTGGCCACTGTCCCCCCGGGGCTCCTGGGTCCCTCCAGTGTGCAGACAGACAGGACGACCTTATCAGGTCAGAAGCCAGGCCAGCGCCGAGCCACAGGTGGTTCTGATGTAAACTGCGGCCACGCCCCAGAGCAGGAGGCTCAGGTGCGGCCTGCTCCGTTCCAGCCGGTCTCCTCTGCTTCCTGGAAGACGCCACGGCCCACCCATCTCCTTGGGGCCCCCAAGCCGTCCCCCCCGCCACTCTCACCGGGGCCTCCCCCCTGTCCTTGTTGTTACAGGCCCCAACACCTATGAAGACGCAGCCGCCTACATCCAAGCA